CAGCCGAACCACAAAAAATAAGTTTAAAATGCATCTAACTGATTATTAGAAATAAACATCTAGATACAGATACCAACTAACCGTCTATCAACATGAACCCCCCCTCCCCTTGTTTTGATCCCCCGCCGCGGTGTTGGTTGTGGGAATCATCTAGATAGAAACTTTGTTCGTCTCCACTTTTTATATATGAAAAGATAGTGTTGTGCTGACAACCTAAATGCAAAAATCTAGAGGTAAAACGTTCAAGGTCGAGTTAGCTTCGTCATCCAACATTCATGCACTCATAAGGACTCAGATATTTTGTAAATTTCATATATCTCAGGCCAATAGTTACTAACATCATCCATCCTCTTTGCTGTAACTAATTTAGCTGCAGGCACCTAATAAGAACTACTCAACAAGAGCCAGGAAAATTTGCATCAGACTCCACTGGTGACGAATATAATTTGCATCAGGCTCCACTGGTGACGAATAGTTTTGATGGAAGAATTCATCGAAGACGCTTTCAATAATTGTACTACATTCTTCAAGCAAAGTCATGCAAACCGTGTGGCTTGTAATCAACGTACAAAGCCCTTTGACAGTAAATACACGCACACACTTATATATGTGTCTACCACGATTGGTGCTGGCTCTGATCCCGTGGCAATATTCATGACAATAATGGAGATCCATACATTTTGCGCAATATTGGTTGTCATCCAATTGCACGTTTTCCCCTGCGTTTCTTTAACTTCCTTTGTGTTCGGAGACTCATTGGTGGATGCAGGGAACAACGACTACTTGTTTACGCTATCTAAGGCGGATTCTCCACCTTATGGCATCGATTTCCTCCCTTCCGGGGGAAGACCGACCGGAAGGTTTACCAATGGCCGCACAATTCCAGATATAATTGGTAGTAGTAATTAATTTGTTCCTCTGCCTTGCTAAAGTTTCTAACCTTTTTTCTTTCTTTTTACTGTAATATTCTTTTTGAGGCAATGACTGGGAAGGGGGAACCTTCTGCCACAACCTTATGATTTGCACACTGTAAACCCATATGCGCTCTTCTGAGTAAAACAACAGACAATCTGTACCTGTCCAGAGGATTGACCAAAAAAGGAAAAAACTATAAACTTCCAAACTTGGTTGGTAGTAATTTAGGAGCAGCCCACTCTTGGGTAGGTTGGGGGTTGCTCCAGAGTCGCTTAATCGCGTTACAAACTCCGAACCTCATTCATTAATTCAGCAGAGTAATAGTAGTAGCTTCCAAGTCTTAGCACGTACTGTTAATTCAATAATTTTCACGAGCAAGTAATTGCATGGCTTCTAATGTACTCAGGTCAAGTTCTTGGGGCCACGTCATTTCCTCCGCCTTGCCTGGCCCCTAACACTACATCAAACGCCATTCATGAAGGAATTAATTATGCTTCAGGAGCTTCAGGGATTTTGGACCAAACGGGAACGTTCTTTGTCTGTATTCCTTGCTTTTCTACCATTCACTAGTAGTTAATGACTTAATGCATAATAGAGTATTAAGGAGGCGTTACTAATCATTTATTTTTTTTGACTTGTGTTGATGCTTCACAGATAGGAAGACTGACGCTGAAAGAGCAAATTGGGTATTTTGAAAAGAGTAGGTCATACATGGTGAATCTAATGGGAGAAGAGAAGACCAACGAACTCCTAAGCAAAGCAATCTTCTCCATTACAATTGGATCAAATGATATTCTCAGCTATTTCCGACCATCCTTTCCCTTTTCTGGTGACAAAATAGCTCCAGAAGTGTTGCAAGATCATATGGTTTCCAACTTAACCACGCAGCTTAAGGTATCATAAAAATACTAGTGGGTTATATACATTGATGGGAAGCGCGATCGCTACTGGTTCTTGGATGTATAATACTCGGCAATTATAATAAATAAATGTTTTTGTGAAGCGACTGCGGTGGTTAGGTGCTCGAAAATTCGTGGTAGTTGGAGTTGGACCTCTTGGATGCATCCCTTATGTCCGTGCCACCCGCCTTATCCCAGAGGGAGAATGTTCGATTGAAGTAAATTCGGTGGTGAGAGGCTACAATAGCAAACTAAAAGAAGGGCTGAATCGACTCAACAGAGAGGTGGGATTTGGAGCTGTATTCGTGTACGCCAATTCCTACGATGTCTTCAGAAGAATGATACGAAATTATCATCAATACGGTGAGTTGGTTAGTTATTTATTGAACAAAACAAGAAGAAAAAAGAGTTCCATTTCTTTTCTTTTCTTTTCTTTTCTTTCGATGGAGAATCTTGATTTGGTGCTGTGTTGGTGGTACGGGTATAAATTGTATTGAAGGGAAGGGGTGGGGACTGGGGAGGGGAAGGTAACCACTTTTAACATCTTATAATTAAAAGTTTTGATGGTTTATTCGGATGGGGCATCCTCCTGAAATTCAGACAAGTAGTAGACTAGTAGTATGAATTGTGGAGTGATTCCTGATAGTAGTACTTGTTTGGATATTATTTTGGGATGGATCGATAATAATTGATTGGCAGGATTCGAGAATGGGGATGGTCCCTGTTGTGGTGGCTATTTCCCTCCATTTGTTTGCTTCGAAGGAAAGGGGAAGACGGCAAATGCAAGCAGCTCATTTCTGTGCAGTGATCGAGCAAAATATGTGTTCTGGGATGCATTTCATCCAACAGAGGCAGCTAATCTCATAGTCGCAGAGAAGCTGTTAGATGGCGATCCAAGTGTGTGCTCCCCCATGAACATTCGTCAGCTTCACCACTCCCCCATCATTCCCATTCACCAACGGAGCTAAGACTCCTTCTTGCTTCCATTCACACAATTCGGACTCAATCCAACATCAACATCAACATCTACTGATCATAATGGATGATTTATCAAAGCATTATTAATGTAATCTGCTTTTATACTACTACACTAGTAGCAGTACTAGTATTGATTCAAGTTGCTACTATCACACTCTGGACAATATTTCGTTTACCATAATACTCTTTTTTAAGTACAGGAAGCTTAATTTAACAATCAAAGCAAAAAATAAATAAATAAATTAGTTCCAGGAAACCATTGAGAATTTTTTTTTTTTTTGTTCTTGGTGCAGTAAATATGTACTTACTACATGAGGTGTTGGGCGATGAGAGACAGGCTGTAAATAATAATAATAATAATAATAATAATAATATTGGGGGTGGATTTTGAGAGTGGCTTCTCTGATATGATACTTATTATTATTATTACGGTCAGTGTTGCTGGTATATAGGTATGGAAAAATAATTAATTGCGTGTATTGACTTTTGAGCCGATCATCAATTACTCCAATGGAACAACTCAGGGACCGGTTAGAGCGTACACCGCCCAGAAATTTGGTGGCAGCACGTGAGCTGTTTAGTGAGGCTTTGCATCTCTCTCTCTCTCTGTGGAATTTGCAGAGATTTAGGGGTAACACCATCCTGCATTGTCGCAACTCCTTGGAACTATTAGAAAATTGCAGTGCAGTTGGCAGTTGGCCGGCCCTCAGTGATAATAATAATCCTCTTTCTAGCTCCCAAAGTCAAAGATACACTTCAGATGCTATTAAAGAAAACAAGGGACCAACTGGGGTTGGGCCAAGTGGTAAGCAGCTTGGTTCCGCTTAAATAGGTCTCGGGTTTGAAACCTGGCGTATGCAGCTACCTTGTTGGGAGATTCACCCACCATAGCCAGGTGTGCGACTCGGGTCGACCAACGGATTAGTCAGGGCAAAGCCCTGGATACCGTGACAGGCAACCAAAAAAAAAAAAAAAGAAAACAAGGGCAATGACGAGTCAATTTCCTCCCACTCTTTTTTTTTTTCATTATTTTTTTTTTTCTGAAAGGAAGTGAGCCCATTTTCACATTCCTTACGGATAGTCTCGTGCTGTGCTCGAATACTCTAATAATAATAATATGTGTTTAGATAGTAGACTATTTGGAATAATTTTTTTTAAAAAAAATATTGTAGCGTCTTTTTTTTTTTTTGGATATAATGTACGTAAAATAAAAATGATGTTTGAAAAATGTGTTGATTATACGAGCAAAATAAAATTTGACAAATAGTTTTTTGTTATATTTGATTGATAATGAGTGGAATGAGTTTCCGTATATGCAAAGTAGTTTTCTATTATTCCTAGGCAAAATTTTTTAAAAAAACAAAATAAAATGCTACTCCATGCTCTTTTCTCAACGAACGCTAGTCCATTGCAAGATCAAACATAGCTCATTAAATAAAGAGTAACAGGCTCAAACAGAAAAATTCATGCGTAGAAAACCTAATTTAGCAATACCACGCAATGGTGGAAAATAATAATTTTGCTCAGTGGGCATAATAATTTTTGCACACGACTTCTCTGCTGCCAAGAGAAAATGGTGTAGGGTTGGCTTTCCCATTTTGCTCATTTTTTTTCCCAAAAATTCAACTGACCATTCCAATCAAGTCCAAAGGCACTTTTGTCGACGCTGCTGCTATAATTCGATCATACGCACATAAAAATTGTGCCAGAAAGCCTTCAAACTGCTTATTCAAAAAAAATTTTCAGTGGACTTTCTTTATTATAAACATTTCATAAACTGGCCTCAGAAAAGCAAAAACATTAAGAAGTTGTCGAAAACAAGCACTTGGTGGTGCTGAAAAGAACCAGCAAGGAAGATTTACTTGTCCTTAATACCCTAAAATTGGATGCTCATAATAGCTTTGCCTTGATTATATGTTGTTCTTCCAAATTTATTTATTTATTTTTATTACTATGAAAAATTAGTATTGGTACCTTACATTTCTTTTTTTAGGGGGAAAAAAGGAATGGAGAAGAAAAAGAGACCAGCTACGGACTTCTGCAGGTATTGTCCGCTTTCCACAAGGCTCTTCGATTATTTGGAAGCATGTAGTCCAGCCCATAATGAATATTGTGGGTTCGGGCGTTACTCCCAATTACCCAGCGGTTACCCCAAGTTCACATTCAAATTGAAAGATGAAGTCCAGCCATTAGAAATCACCCACAATGGCCTGTGACGCCGTAACAATATATGAGTAATCAGATTTTAGGATCCTGGGAACTGCCATCGAATTCGATCGACGAGCAGGAGGAACAAAACCCAGAGCAGAAAAAAATTTGAAAAAAAATGGGATACGTACTGAGAGTGAGGACAGCATCGTTCTTCGCGGGTGCAGCGGTGGCTTCTGCCATGGGAATTTATGCTCTGCAACAGGATTACAAAAATGCCCATCGCACCCATTCTCAACAGGTTCCTGCTTCTTCTCCTTCTTCTTTTGACTTTTTTTTTTTTTTTTTTAAAGTTTTCTTTCCTGTATACGTTCCTTTTGTTTTCCATTTCTGTGAATAGTTAATTACAGATATTATTCCTCATATCCATGCCCGTCTATGTATATCTGTTGAGCTTTAATTTGATTTAATTGGATGAGGGAGAAAAGCCTAATGCTATTACCGGACAAAAATGGAAGTCAGAGAGGGATTTTTTCTTTCTTTTTTATGCAAATAGAAATTTGGATGAATGACCATGTTCTTTAAGGGATGAGCTCTTGCTTTTCATCTGTTCTGAACTTCCAACTTGCCTTTGCTCTGAGGGATTGATGTGTGTTAGTAAAGATGTTTTCATGCTTATAAACTTATGCTTTTGAACAGTTCAAAGGTGGAGGAAAAGAAATAAATCAAAAGAATTCTTAGTTAATACAAGACGTTGGTCGCCCTACTTGATTTTTTTTCCCTTTTTGTTTGTCTGGGACTTGGATTTTATAGGTTTATGATTGACCACGATATGCAGTTGTTTAGTGCAGACAAAGTCTTTTCTAATAGGACGGAAAGCAGTTAAGGATTTTGTTCTGGATTATGAGATCATTTTGATGGTCTATTTGTGTAAATCTTGGGATATGCCGTTCTTTCTTTTTGGCACTAAAATGTGCTAATTTGACTACTTCATCAGTTAAAATAGCAAAATGTCAACTTTGTCTGCAGTTACAGAGGTAGCCGTGCTACCTTAACATTGGAAGCAACTGGCCTGCTGGAAATTACGTGAATCAATGGTCATTATCTTAGAACTTATTTGACATTTAATAGTAGAGGGTAATGGTATATTAGTAGAGGGTAATGGTATATTTAAGTTTGTCTAATATGGCTGTGAAAATTATATTCGCATCACTTACAATGCTGGTGGTATCTTGCTTCAGAAATTGTTTTTCTTTTTGTTTTTTGTGGCATTGTTGTTTTTATGTTACCATTTTTCGCCCCCTCCTTTAGGCAATTGGCGTTTACCAGTCTTTGGAGGGAAGGATCTCAGCTTTGGAAAAGTCACAAGAAGTCCAGCCTGCAAAATCTGTTCAAGCTGCACCTTAGAAGTTATAAGCTGTGCTTTTCTGAGTAGCAGTTGACTACTTCTCGACCCTTTTGAGGTTTCAAGCATATTTAGGTTTTGTTGTGTAAGGGTTCTGTGTGATGGAAAACCAAACTGTCTTCACATCAGAATTTCACTAGTTATGTATTCATAGTGGGAATCAATGGAATGGACCTTGAATTTTCAACTTCTCGTGGTTTATTGTGTTTGTTGTAGTTTTTATTCACAGGAGTTTGTTTGTTGTGAATATCTCATCGACAAATAATATGACTTATTGAATATTTCTTTCCAATATCACTTGGTCTCAACCTTTAACAGTGGATGGTCATGTTGTGACTCAAGCCAAGGCCTTTGCTGGATGCGAACTGGAGTATATCTCTTTCAAAGACAACTTTTGGCTGTTCCAATGCTAATCATTTTGCTTCAAAGCCAAAAGTGTCTAATGACTAAGTTAGAGCTCAAATCACTCATTTAAGTATTTGTCGTGCAACATGTAATGAACTCACTTGAGTGTTCCATACAAAGGTATCTTATTGCTGATTACCATCTTTTGTATTGGCCTGCATGTCATTATGACCTCATTGCATCTCTTAGAATTTCTCTGTTCTGTTCTTTGTTTTGAAACACATCAATGGAGATCAACTGAGCACTGAATAAGTGCATTGTGGGATAGCAGCTAGCTATTCAACAAGCATGAATTATACCTTTGCAATCTGCTGGAAATGGCCCGTGTACTTTTAGTTGTACTTTGGCTGATTTCTTTTTCCTTCCTTTTTCTTTCTCTTCATATTTTGTGTAAAAATAATATGTTATTCTTTTTGGTCATTGTTCTTCATGTTCACTATCCTAACTCCCAATTTCTTTGGCCCTGGGCATTTCCTCCCCTTTCTGTGCGTCTTCCAGGTGCCTAGGTCTCTTCGTGAAATGTGGAGTAGTAGCTGCCTACTCCTAATCGTTTTAGTTACTGTTTTTCCTTTCTTACTATAATTTTTTCTTCTCATTTTTTTCCATTAAACTCTGAGATTCTTTTGTGGAAATAAGTCACATCACTCATTATACTAAGGTATAGGCCCTCTGACACTTGGTACTGAGCTTCGAATGCAGCTTAAGAAGATGAGTAACTAATTACACGTCGTAGCATTTCATTTGTCTCACATGGTGTATCACGTACCATATGTATTTGTTATATATAGCTCTGTGTACCTATTGATTTGCAGTTGGGTAACTGGTCAAACATGGTTGAGCAAAACTGCTGCTGCTGAAGGGAAGCTTATGTGTCTGTGTGGCCTTGGCATGTTATTCGGCACGAGAATTGCAGAACGTTTTGGTAGCTTGGAAGAAGTTTGCAAATATTATGCCTTGCGCCGCAGTTGATTCTTGTATTCTTTTTCCCCCTTTGGGATCTGGATGTAAATTATTCACGAGTTCTGAGGATTAATCGCTTTTAGAACTAACCACTCCCCATTGAGTTTACCTTTGCCCTTTAGAGCAAAGCAATCCATCCCAGGGTTAACGGGTTAAGGAGAGTGGCAAGAGATAGACGTACTATTTCCGGCACATGAATTTGATGCCTATCACTTTCTTGATCCCGAGGAGGACAGTGATAGGCAAGAGGTCGAATTGGGGAACTTCCGTTACATGGGGGAAAAACCAGGCAATGGTTGGTATATATATTTATAAAAAAAAAAAAAAAACCTGAACGGGAGAGAAAAAGCCTACGTGGCCCGGCCAAATTTCAAGTCTTGCGTGGCATTACTTCAGCCTCAAGTCGATCATAGATCATGTTGGCTCATCCGCAACCAGTTGCCTCTGATATTGTGTTTGCCCTTTCTGCCATCACAGGGCCCAGGCTGTAAGGCTAATAACCATTGGTTTTGCAGAGACTGCATTCCGTCCGTATATTCGCAGGGAAGGATCGGGTCATTCTAGACATTTGAAAGGTCCCTCAAAGATGTGGATGGTGAATGGTTTTTGATTATTTGAGGGAATGAAACGTAAAAAGTGGAGCTGCATGAACCAATCATATGCCCTCTGGGATTCCTGAAAATCACAGAAGAGTGCGTAATATCTATAGCTCCAGGGACGACTGCTGCTAAATGAAGAGTCCTTAATTTAGACCTTTTTCAACTAGACTTAGACAGTGCGTCCAGATTAGCTGTGGCGAAAATTGACCAAGAAAAAGAATAGAGAAAGCCCCTCGTGCTCTGCTTCTTGCGAAACACAACCCAAGTCGAGGGAGTATTGATGGTGGTTCTAACAAGTTTTCAAGCAGTCCAAGTCCATAACCAAGCAGCAGCAATTAAGTGTGGTTACCACCCAAGACTACGCCTTAAAAATGGAACTGTTAGCATAAGGTGTGGGATTGCAGAGCCATCAGGAGAGCCAGCACCAGTTGGGCAGAAGACAAAATACAAGGATGGTTTCTTTGAGAAGGCTTTCATGACGCTCTTCGCCCGCAAAATGGAGAAATTTGCTGCCAAATCCAACAAAGATGGGACGCCAGTAGAGAAGAAGGGTTGGTTTGATTATGACTATGAAAGCTTTGTGGACGTCTCTAAGAGAGTGATTCAAGGTAGGAATCGCACGCAACAGCAGCAAGTGGTTCGAGAGGTGCTCTTGTCCATGCTTCCTCCTGGTGCTCCTGCTCAGGTATTTTCTTTTCTTTCCTTTTATCCGCCTGACTGGACGGGAAAGGGTGAAATTGAATTCGCATCACGCACGACTTTTTCCAATTTCCAAACCAGCTGAAACTGTGATAAGTCCAATGCTAATTTTTATCTTAAAAAATAAAAGCTAATTTGAAAAAAAAAAAAAAGGCGCATCACACACCACCTTTTTTAAACCAGCTAATTTGAAAGGAAAAGGGAAAAGAAAGGAGACTATATTTTTTTTTAAAGCTAATTTTTGAAAGAAAAAGGGCCAAAAGGAGAAATTGAAGGAGGAAATTTGCTGGCTATGGGGTTCGAACCCATGCGCACTTATGTGCAGAAGATCTTAAGTCTTCCCCCTTAACCTCTCGGGCAAACCAGCTGCTAATGCTCTTAAGCTTCCTTATTCTTCTACCAATGAGCCAACAGCTTACCCAAATCAAATTTGGGCTTGACAGTTCAGGAAGCTTTTTCCACCCACGAGATGGGCCTGTGAATTCAATGCCACTATAACAGTACCCTTCTTCGACTGGCTAGTTGGGCCCTCGGAGGTAGTATTCTCATTTTTACTGTACTAGACTCGATCAAGTTTTGCTTTCCACAGTTTTGGCGATCCATTTTCTCATTGGAGGGCCTTTTTATTATGCTAAAGAGTGTTTTGTTCCAAGATGTATATTATGATTACCACATATAGTTGGCAACATAATTGAATTGTCAAATGAATGATTGGTTGGTTTGTAATTCATATGAAATGGACATATAAGAAAATTTGCACCCGTTAGCTCCGCCGCCACTGTGCGTCAACTTTTTTCTACCAAAACCGATAAACTGTTGTTGCATTTTGTTTCTTCACCTCGCCCTTACAAGCTGACTTGCCCGCACCCAGTAGGTCGTGGAAGTGGAGGTAAATGGAGTAAAGCAAAGAAGTGGAGTGCGCATAAAGAAATGCAGGTATTACAGGACGTTTCTTTCCTCTCGAGTTTTGGAAGTCTGAATATATAATAGTTCAGTTCAGTTCAGTTACAGAGTGAGTGTTCCCATTTTTAATGACCAAGTCGAGTAGTGCTAATCGTCTGGCATATTTTCAATGAAGGTATTTGGAGAACAGCGGGTGCGTAGGAATGTGCGTTAACATGTGCAAAATACCCACACAAGACTTCTTCACCGACGAATTTGGGCTTCCATTAACCATGACCCCAAGTAGTGTATATATATGTACTGTTTGTTTTTTGCTTTGTTGCCTTCCTTATTCTAAACATACATATAAATGCTTTTCGGTGATCCTGCTGCCGTTGGAAAATGCAGATTTCGAAGATATGAGCTGTGAGATGGTGTACGGGCAGGCTCCACCGCCATTTGAAGATGACCCGGCATCCAAACAACCTTGTTTTGCAGATATTTGTAAGCACCAACTGCTAAAGGTTGGGAGGCTTGAAGGATCGATGCATGTCATCTCCTTTCCTAATTAATTATTTATTGGGGTATATTTTGATTTCGCAGGCTCTTTGGCAAATCCCAATTCGAGCGTCTGTCCCAAGCTGCAAACCTAACAGAAACAGCTCCTACTTCTTTTCTGGGAAGTGTTTTTTTAGCCAGGGGGCCGTGACTATGGCGCGACATTCAAAAGTAACAGAAAAAGATCAAACTCGCAGGAATTGTTTGTTTGAACTATAATGGGACTGCTCTATCTTTGACTAGCGATCAAATAAGAGCAACTCGTAGTCGTAGCATTCCGCGTAATTAATGCAGATAAGTTCGCCAATCACACTACTGTAATATGCTCCACCATCTGGTGTTGAGACTTTTTTTAACTCACTTTGATGACCTTGTCGTCATGTCCTTTTGACAACATTTTTGTTGTCCCTTAGAGGAATGCATTTTCTTGGTCCCTTTAATGTTTTATATATATATATATATATATATATCTCTCTTAAAAGGATTGTACTATTATAGAGAGGAAGCAACAAGTGCAGATGGTAGAATGGAATCCCATTTCCTCTGTATAACGTCGACATGAAATATACTACCTACTGCTGCTACTGGCAGTCTGGCACTTACTACTTCCAATTCCAATCCTAACAACAAATTGGTGCTGGCTTTTTTTGTAGGCTTCTAAGCACACCGTCCACCTTGAATTACGCCTTCTTAATATAATCACATGCTCAAACAGCATTTCTTATTCCCTCCTAAACCACTCCAAAATAAATATAAACAAGTACTGTCTGTAAATAAAATCATGCAGCCGCTGAGTTTGAAATTTGCGTTCCCAAAAGTCACATGATGGATCAAACATGCATCCTCCTTCACCTTCACGGGTCAAATCCTAGACCCTTCCCTGTATGTCATATGACAGCATCACATTTTCTCTATGCATTCCAGAATTTTTTTTTAAATTTTTTTGGGTGGGGTGGGGGGGGGGGGTTCTTGGATTCCCCTTTATCTATCCATAGCTGATCTCTGCAGCACAGTGTGGATAAAATTTGTCCTGTCACGAACATGAATGAGAGGAAAACCCGGTGCTCGTTTTGCAACTGTAGTGCACGGGATGATGCGAGTTTGAAAATGACTTCCATTCAAAGACTAATTTGTGTGTGTCTCAATAGTTGACTGTCTCATACTTTTTTGTTTTTTTTGGGGGCTTATTATTCTTCCCACCGTTACGGGCGCGGTAGCTTTTAATTTGCTTGTAAGTATAATGCTAGTAGTAGTAGGAGGGCACACACTATCATCCGAATTGGCGCAGCTGAATCCGTCCGTGAATGGATGATGCGTCCAAGCTTTCAAAGACACTACTCACTCTCTGATGCACGCATTCACCAACGAACTTAACTACCCCCCCATTCTCCCATCCATCCAATTCTTCTTTGTATAAAGAGGAGGTGCCAATGCCAAAAAAACAAAAACATAGTCTAGTGAATGCTTCGCTTCTAAAGGATAGAGCCTCCTAAGTTTATTTTCACTTTGGAAAAACGAACATGACGTCTTGCCTTCCTAAGTTTACCATAAAATTACTACTGATTCTATGCTTCTTCTTATCCTCCTCTCATGCATTCACCACTCGAGACTATTCTGATGCCCTTGAAAAATCCATTCTCTTCTTTGAAGGGCAGAGATCAGGGAAGCTACCCTCAAACCAACGACTTTCGTGGAGGGGTGACTCTGCATTGTCCGACGGCTCTGGTTACCATGTAATTAATTAATAGTACTAATACATATATATATATATATATATATATATATATATATATATATATATGCTCTCCAATTAGTGGGTGGAGTAACAGTTTTTTTGACGGCTTAATACAATCTATTTTTGTCATCGTGGATTACAGGTTGATCTTGTGGGAGGTTATTATGATGCAGGAGACAATGTCAAGTTTGGCCTGCCAATGGCTTTCACTACTACTCTATTTGCATGGAGCATAATTGAGTTTGGTAGCTCCATGCATAACCAACTTGAGAATGCCAAAGCCGCTGTCCGCTGGGGTGCCGATTATCTTTTGAAAGCAGCCACAGCAACTCCTGCTACCTTATACGCTCAAGTGAGAAACTCCGCACTTAATATAAAACAAAACATTTACTAATTCATAGCTGTTTTAGGAGTAGATTAAGGTACATCATTAACCACACCGCCGCCGAATTGATTGATTTCTGGGAATGCTTTGTCTTCTACAATAGAAAATTGCAAACAAGCTTTATTTCCTCTAAATGGAGCAGGTTGGAGATCCGAATATAGACCATCGTTGCTGGGAAAGGCCAGAGGACATGGACACGCCTCGGAATGTGTATAAAGTGACCTCCCAAAACCCAGGATCAGACGTAGCAGCAGAGACAGCAGCAGCACTGGCAGCAGCCTCTATTGTGTTCAAAGATTCCGATCCTCATTATTCCACCAAATTATTGCACACAGCAATGGAGGTTAGTTTTTCACTACTAATTTCGACTCCCCAACTTTTTATTACCACTCCCATCTCATAAAAAAACAATCCCGAACAAATGCAACTGCAGGTGTTTGATTTTGCAGACAGGCACAGGGGCTCTTACAGTGACTCTCTCAATTCTGTTGTCTGCCCCTTTTACTGCTCATATTCAGGATACCAAGTGAGACGAACGAAACAGTTTCATAGGTTTTCTTTAATGTCCCTAGCGTAGGTTCATCTGTCACCACTTACCATCTCCTGCTCTCATGGATTTAGGATGAGCTATTGTGGGGAGCTTCTTGGCTTCATACAGCTTCAGAAAATTCCTCGTATTTGGCTTACATCCAATCAAATGGCCACACACTTGGCGCAGATAATGACGATTATTCCTTTAGTTGGGATGACAAACGCCCCGGAACAAAAGTTTTGCTTGCAAAGGTTTTTTTTTGTTTTGTGCCTTCCCTTCTTTCCTGCAATACAAATAAACAAATTCGTTAAATTACATGCTCAATGCTTCTCCGATGCAACTTCACATAGGGTTTCTTGGAGAAGAGCACCCAAGAATTTCAGCTGTATAAAGCACATTCTGACAGCTACATCTGCTCTTTGATACCGGGAATGCCAAATTTCCAGGCCCAGTATACCCCAGGTGTGCTGGAGAAAATTGTTATTATTATTTTTTTTATGACTTTCGTTTCCCTCACAGAATCAGCCGCCCATATTGTGGTGCTTAGTGGTTTCGTTATGCTAAATTTGATTCTGGCTGTCTCAAAATCAACAACATTGGTTGACAGGGGGACTTCTCTATAAACAAAGTGAGAGCAATCTCCAGTATGTTACCTCTTCGTCTTTCCTTCTCCTAACATATGCCAAGTATTTACGCTCGAATGGAGGAGTTGCAGCATGTGGGGTCTCAACTATCACAGCAGATAAGATCATAGAAACTGCAAAGAGACAGGTTGACTATATATTAGGAGATAATCCAGCAAAAATGTCATACATGGTGGGTTTTGGGCAAAGGTATCCCCAGCATGTTCACCACAGAGGTTCCTCTGTGCCATCAGTGCATGCACATCCGGGACGTGTTAGCTGCAGTGACGGATTTCAATATCTCTATTCCCGCTTGCCTAATCCAAATATTCTCGTGGGAGCCATCTTAGGAGGGCCTGATAGCAGAGACAATTTCGCTGATGACAGAAACAACTATCAGCAATCTGAGCCAGCAACTTATATAAATGCCCCTTTTGTTGGGGCTGTGGCTTTCTTCTCAGACGGATCCACAACAGTCTAACATTTTCATTGCCTTTAATGGAGATAAAAATCTGCTCCAAAAATGTTGTGATTCAGAACAAGTTGGCACGATTTTGACAATTACTACTAGTGTTGTTTTGTCCCTCGTCCAATTTTGAGGGTTCTACAATTTGACCATTCAAGCAGAATGACGAAACTCTTTTTAAACTAAGAAACATGAACTACAGGAAAATTGTGGAGGCATTAATCTTTTGTGAAGATAATGATCAAAGTGTACTAGCGTCAAAATGCAGAATAAGATGATCAAAGTCTTTTTCCTGCCTAACTCACGGCACCTCAAACACGATTAGTCCAGAGAGACAATAGAGATCCCTAACTCTGAACGAGAGGCATTAACTTAATTGCTTAACAATCAAAGAAGGGGAAAAACTAAATAAAAATAAAAGAGCAAAAGAAAAAATAAAGGGCAAGAAACATCTCCTGAACTCCTTTTATGCATACATTTCACATAGCTGCTCCTTGGCCAATGCGAACTCTTCCTCTCTATATCCATTCACAATTGATTTTTGGATCAAAAAATGGCATGCTTACTATTTACCACTATGTTTTGACCAAAAGAGAATACTCCATACTATTTGGTTAACGTGAATTTAAAAATGTCGAGATTTAAGACCAAGGTGCCCAGCTTGTTTGCCTGTTAGCTCAGGAAAGGCACACGGGATCCTCGGCGTCATTTTTTCAGTGGTAATTCAGTGTCACTTCTATATTTATGTCAAGTGTTCTGTTTATTTAATTTGTCATGTACTGTTTATTTAAATTTTTTTTACCATCACGTGATAAGTGGGATTGACACTGGATTTGACATTGAATAGTGACATAGAGGATCCCAACTGAAGAAAAGGAGAGGGATTGGAGTGATTTGGTTTTTGTTGTTTCGATTGACTTTTGAGGGGGGAAAGGAAAGGTTTAGGGAGGGAAAGAGCGGAGAAGAATCTAATTATTCGATTGAATTATGCTTAGAAGGAAAATGAAATTAAATAATTTACAATTTTATTAAAAGTTTATTTTTTCGCTATCTTTTCAACTAAATTAACACTTAAACAGAAGTTTAAGCAGAAATTCAATATTTGTTTTCTTTTCCTTTCATATTTAATTCAGATACGATTCGATGGGAATCACTTTTCATTTCCTTTCTTTTCCATTGCTACCCTTCCCTTCCTTCAATCCAAACGGAGCCTAAATCAGGAGATTAATTAATTTTATAAAAAGGATAAAAAAAAATGGCGCGCCGGCTCTACCACTACCTACAGGCTACAGTGTAGAAGAAGGAAAGGGAAGAGCGGAGAAAGAGAAAAGAGACGGAGATCTGAGCTTCTTCTGTTCTTCCGAGGATGACGATGATGATCAACTCCATCAACATTTATGTCCTTCTTCTTCTCCTCATCTCTCCGGCAGTCGTAATCGCTGAGATTCGATCCTCCGAGATTCGCAACGATGCACGTGGCATCATCCCCTTGGACGAGTTCGGCTTCACTCACCGGGGCCGCCTCGACCTCAACGTCTTCTCCATCTCCCTCTCCTCCGACCCCTCCTCTCTCGACCTCTCCCGCCTCGGTTTCTTCCTCTGCACCCGCGATGCCTGGTTTCACGTCCTCCGCCAGATCGACGACTCCCAGATCACCTGCGCCCTCCAGTCCGACGCCGTCGATCTCGTCTTCACCTTCGACTCCCTCCCTAACCCCCCCATTTCCTTCTCCAAACCCCACAACATCTCCATCCCTGATCAGTACTCTCTCGTCTTCGCCAGCTGCCTCCCCAACCTCCGCGTCTCCATGAAAGTCCACTCCGCCATGTACAATTTGCAACCCGGTCCCTACTCCAACCGCCGCGATTATCTCTCCGCCGGTAAAACCCCCCTCCCCACGATTTATTTCTTGTTTTCGCTCGTCTATTTCGCCTTGGCCGCCCTCTGGATCCATGTTCTGTACAAGAAACGCTTGACCGTCTTCGCCATCCATTTCTTCATGCTCGCCGTGGTTATCTTGAAGGCCCTCAATCTCCTGTGCGAGGCCGAGGACAAGTCTTATATTAACCGAACCGGGAGCGCCCACGGATGGGATGTCTTGTTCTACGTGTTTAGCTTCTTCAAGGGGATTACCCTCTTCTCTTTGATTGTGTTGATTGGGACTGGGTGGTCCTTTTTGAAGCCCTACTTGCAGGACAAGGAAAAGAAGGTTTTGATGATCGTCATTCCTCTTCAGGTCGTTGCTAATATAGCTCAGGTTGTGATTGATGAGTCCGGGCCGTTTGACCAAGATTGGGTCACGTGGAAGCAGGTTTTCCTGTTGGTGGATGTAGTGTGCTGTTGTGCCGTCTTGTTCCCGATTGTTTGGTCTATAAAGAACTTGCGCGAGGCTGCCAGGACTGATGGCAAGGCTGCTGTGAATTTGATGAAGTTGACCTTGTTTAGGCAGTATTATATCGTGGTCATCTGCTACATTTACTTTACGAGGGTGGTGGTGTATGCGTTGGAGACCATCACTTCGTATAGGTATCTCTGGACCAGTGTTGTGGCTGGGGAGTTGGCCACTCTTGCCTTTTATGTTTTCACTGGCTACAACTTTAAGCCTGAAGCGCACAATCCCTATTTTGTGGTTGATGATGAAGAGGAGGAGGCTGCGGCTGAGCAGTTGAAGCTTGAAGATGAATTTGAATTGTGAGCCAGATGATACCTGGTCAAGCATTGGATACCTGTCAGGTTGAGTCTATTATTTTATTGCCATATTTCTAGGACATCAGTAGTGTAGTGTTTTGCGTCTTCATATGTGATGTTTGTTTAAGGCTTTTGATGACTAAGGCCAGTAGTATATACCTGTCATGGACTATAATGCGTCTGTGATTTTTGTCAAACAAATTTTTGTGGGAATGGAGTCATATTTGTAGGTTCCAATACTAGAAGTTGAAGGGAAAGTTTTTTGTGTATTTTTGAAGTGTGTAGGTAAAAAGTTTTGAGAAGTTTTTTGGGGTTCCTGTAGCAAAGGTTGTTAAAAAACTAGTAGGTAAAAAACTTGGTCAAAAAACTCACTTCCAAACATGCCCCATGTGATTTTCCTTGTAATATATCACAGTATTATACTCTTACTCTCTTTTCCTATTTTCTGTTCAATGAGCCAACTGTTGCAGCTCTTGATTTTGGGAACTGATTTGCATTCATGTTGTTCAAGATATAACCATTGGATGATGTGAGTTCTTCTTACTGCTGTTGCAACGTAGAAGTACAATTAGCTCCTATATTCTGATGGTTAATTGGTGTCTCACAGTTCCTAGTAATGAGACGTCCATACTTTTTGAAAGAAAATTAAGAAACTGAGAAGGGAGAGAATAATCTAAAGTGAGTGTATGAGAGAGAGAGAGAGAGAGACTGTTCAATGAGGAAATGGCATTATTGTTTGCCTGTCTGAAGTGACTAGTCGGTATTGTCCACAAAACTCATTCTTGATTGTCATGATGTGTCTTAATATTTCTTTTTTAACTATATGTTTGATAATTTCACCAGTATGGTTCCATTGATTGCATCTATTCTTTGTTTTCTGGTTCCGTAGACTGAATCTACTTCCTGAAGGAAATGATGAGATGCCTATTGAGGCTCATAGAGGCAGTCCTGGAATTTCTTGTCTTTGTTGTGTTTATGTTGTTTACTAAGTAGTTTACTAAGTAGTTTACTTAGCTACTACCAAGCATGACTCTGGTACTGCAATGCTCTAACATCTGGAAAGTAATATAGCGAAATTAGAATTGACACATTGGTAATACTGATACGTTAAAAATAACAATTTGTAAGTCATTAAACTTGTCTGAAGTGATTCAAAAGAAAAAGGTTAGAAATTTTGAGTATTTGGAGCTACTACAGGTGCGAGCAACGGTATCATGGTTTCAGTTGATAATTTATGCGTAGGAACCTTTCTGAATACACCAAGGGGCTGAAATTTTCTGGGCATATGTTCCCCTTCAAACATAAGAGGGCCTAAAAAGCCTTTTTAGAGGTCATGAAAGAATGTATAATAGGTATTCTGTAGCTTTTCTTCATTTTTGTCAGCTAAAACATTCTTGAATTTCTGTTCAGCTATTAACTCCATATGCATTATCTTTGTGGAAGACTACGACTTATTGTCCAACTGTTTACAGTAGAAAATGTGAATACTAATATTTTAGTTGGAGCACAAGGATGACTGAGTAGTCCAGAGATTTTTCCCTTGCTGTGATGTATATTTCAGGCAAATTTTAAGCATATTGTGATCACAAAGCAATTTAATACCAGCTTTATGAAGTTTTGTCTCCCAGGTGAGATTTGTGAGTATCTAATTTAAACTCTTAGTCCGAGAGGCAATGAGATCTGTCCCGAAAGTATCTCTCTTTGAGTATTTGAGCAATCAAATTGATTAATTTAGTGATGAGGTTTGGGTTTGAAGATTAATTTGGTGTGAATTTTTCTCTCCCTGTTAGTGGCAGTTAAGTGAATGCTTTCGGCCATATACAGATTAAAGCAGCTGGTCACCAATTGGGTGGCATTGATGTCGTATTTATCCTGTAATTATGTGTTAACGTTTTATCTTATATCCATCATGAGACTAATCTACTAGGCAAATATTCTGGTATGCAGTTAAAAGCAGCCTTAAATTTGGGTATCCAAAATGTAGCACGCGTGGTGCATTTTAGTTTTGGGGGGGAGGGGTGAGGAAGGGATGGGTGGTTTGGGGGAGGGAGTGTAAATGAGAGGTCCAAGTTCGAACCCTCCCACTTATACTGTGACGTGAAAAGGTGTAGTGTTATTCACGTTTGACTCTCCATTGGATTAAATCATCTCTCTCGGGAAAAGATTGTGTTGTTACTTGATTTTGCTATCATCTCTCTCTGGAAAAGATTGTGTTGTTACTTGTTTTAGCTATTAACCTTGGCAAGCCCAAAATTGATGGCATAAATTGTTCCAAAACATTTTGTCAAGGGCAGTTTGTCGGAAGATGGGAAGGACATGCACTATCAGATTTGCTTATTTGGATCCTGTTTCAGCTCTGACTCCTTCGGTGTAAACTGTAAACTGCTCGATGATGCATCAGTTTTGTGTCAATTTTCAATTCAAGGTTGGAGTTGGAGTTGGAGTTGGAGTTGTAGTGTAGGTTAATATGGATGCTAAAAGGAGGAGCGCCCTGCTAGGCTGCCAGCCAGCTTGGCGGCTTTTGTTTCTTTTGCCTTAACAGGATTGAACCCACAAAAACGAAGGAAGCTGGACAGCAATCATAGCAAAAGTGGAGGATGTGGGCTTCAGTGAAATGACAATAAACTACTCTTCCTTTAACGCACCAATAATTTTGAGACGTCCAACGGAATGTACTACGAGGCTCGAATCCTCTTATTTACAGTGAATCCTGCCTGCATCTTATTAAGTGGTCATCTAATGATCACCCCGCCTAAAGAGAGTTGGTTTCCAAATTTAGGACTTGCTCCATTTATTGTCGCGGCTATGGCACAATGCCACAATATGCAATGCGGTCCTTTTAAGCTTTGACTACCAGAAATGGCGTAAACTTTGGAGAGTAGTAAAGTACGAAACTGTGGTTTAAATCGATCCCAGGGGCGCATTACAGCCATCCCTGTTGACCTGCCCTTCTCTCCCTTTGCAGAACTCTAGATTCGACTACTATGATGCAAAATGTGGAGCCATAAGACTGATCAGATCCGCCTATCCTTTGTAGCCGAAAATTATCGATTTCATCCTTTTTAACATTTTTGTCCTCCATAATTTAAACAATGCAAAATCATTCCTCACAAAAGTTTCATCTGGTACTGTGAGCCGCAGGCCCTTTCATGTGCACATTATTTCGTGGGCTATTAGTCAGTCTATTAAATGATGAAAACAAAAAGCACGGCAGACTAAACACTACACTGTTGTTTCATTGATTAGTAAGTAAAAAGGTAGTAGATGAGAACAGAGCGAAGACAAGAAAGAGTTGGAGCACGTTTCAACAATCCTCGCTGTTCTTTTTTATTTGATCTCTAACTTGCCGTCAAAATTCAAAAGGTTCGTGGACAAAAAAGTTTCCTAGTCTGGTGGACTTGGACCACTATTTCCTTCGTAGTTCAAAAAATCGAATACGTATTAGTCAGTGAATCAAAAATGAGGTTTGGTTTGCTGTCTGTCTGCTCTTGTTTGGTCATTCGGTTGACTGATATGTTTAGGCACATCGCTTGCTTGTATGGCTCTTAATTGACGGAAATTGGATTCTGGGACGAAATTTACGCTAAAAGAGCCATTTCAGACCTTACCGCAGAAAACCTGTGCTAGTGGCATACTGTTCTCTTTTTTTTTTTTTTGGGAGAAAGGGGGTGGTGTGGAAAGGTGTCATTCCATTCTTGTATTCAGGGAGAATATCACCCCATTTACGTAGACAAGGTTAGCATTATCTTACTCTTGATAGCACGTAGTACTAATCATCCAAGCGCCAGAATTAGCTTATGAAGAAAAAGAAGGGAGTACTGTAGAGGAGAACATGTTAGAAGACCATCCCATGTGAAAAGTTGTGTGGATTGATCATGAGAAGTGTTTGTTCCATGGGGACCCCCAACCATGTTACTGGTAGCACGAGGCAATTGGCATCCTGCTCCTTAGGCCAAGGCTTTTTCCTTTTGAAGGACAGAACATCAACAATCTGAGTTGGATAACAAGATAGAATAGATGGATGTTGAGATCTCCTTTTGAGTTCATGCATTCGTAAAATCCAACCGATCATTAAAACCAAAAAAAAAAAAAAATTGCAATTACGAGGTACTGGTATCAGTTAAATCCTTCATGGGCGTCTTAAAATTGTTTTAACAGCAGAGGTATCATCATTCATCAGTCTGGAAAAATCATACGAGTAAAAAGAGGATTCCTAGTACTATTATGGTTAATTTGAAGGTTGTGGAGGTCTACAAGCCATTCATTAATTATAAAACGGACGACCGGAGGTGACCCTAATTAGTAGTAATGTTACTTGTGCAGGCCCATTTCTTCCTCACGCAAGAGGATTAGATTAATGAAGCTTTGGAGTTCAGTTCCTATCATGCATTCGCAGGAGAAAATCTCAAACAGATGCAAATGTGGTCCTTTACACAATCTTGATGATTTTTGTAGATGTTCTAGAATATCCACGAGGCTTGAAGTGGCCTTGACATACATGAAAAGTTTTCTATATAACTGGTCTGGCAGATAACCAGTTGAATCCTTGTGGTTTTAGACAATTTGTCCCTCATCGAATGAGCTTGTGCAGGAGGAAATATAACTGGTGTTGGAAGTACTGCCTATTCACAATTTACCAACCCTGACATGTGTTCCCCTTTTCTTTTTTTGGGATTTAGAATCAGCTACTTATAGCATTTGTGCGTACAGAAAATAGGTTTGCAAGAACCAAAATACAATTTGTTAAAGTAACACCCCCACCCCCCCCCCCCTCCCCAAAAAAAAAAAAGAAAAAAAAAAAAACCGCAGTAGTAGAAACTAGGACACTACTAGACTTGCTGAATTATACGAATGACTTGCACCATCGGCTACCTCCGACATGCATCCGGATGTAGCAATTAAATACCAAGAGGTGCATGTGATGCATCTTTCCCTTTTACACTCCCACAGTCTCAGAAGCAGCTTGGACAAATGGACTTTAGAGATAGAACGGCCCTACTTGCAATTACAATAGAGAAAAGGCAAAAGCAAGAGGAAAAAAAAGGTAGACAAACATAGAAAAGCTTCTTCCAAAGAAAGGCACATTATAGAGAAAGCAAAGCAAGACTGCCCAATGGAAATGGAAGAGATGATGATGATGATGATGATCAGCAGCAGAAGCAGCCCAGCAAATCCCAGAATTCAGTCCATTTCTAATGATCCCATTACTAATTGCCCAACCTGGAAGTTGTACGAGAACCCCTTCTACACAAATACTCCTCATAACCAAAAACATAAACATCAGCAGCACTCCCGTCAATTAGAGAACAAGGCCAGTAGTAGTAATAGTACCTGTAGTACTGATCAGCTGAAGCAAGTTCATCGTATCCAGCTTCCTGTTTCAGCAAGAAAGATCGCGGCTTCCTTTTGGGATCTAACCTTCATCAGGCCTTTGATGGAGTCTGAGCTTGACAAGGCCCGAGCCAAGATCACCGAATTGAAGGCTGGGCTGGAACAGGAGCGCAAGGCTCGTAAGAAAGCAGAATCTATGAATAAAAAGCTGGCCAGAGAACTCTCGGAGGTCAAGAAAAGCAGAGAAGCATTGGAGCGGCTGTGTGAAGAACTTGCAAAACAAGTATCAACCGGCGAGGCAGAAATGAGCAGAATGCACAAGGACATGGAGGAGGAGAGAAAGATGCTGCGGATGGCAGAGGTGTTGAGAGAAGAACGCGTCCAGATGAAGCTTGCTGAAGCAAAACTTTTGTTGGAAGAAAAGCTGACGGAGTTGGAGGCCACCAAAACGAAACAGATGATTGATCGGTCCAAGGTTAATGATCAAGAAGCGCAACACCGCCACATTTTTAGCAAGGCTGATGAGAGTTTTAACAAAACTTGGTCAAGTAATGGTGGGATTGAGTCTGCTGACGATATTAATAGTATCAGTCGTGATTCCTCCGGAGAAGAGATAAAATCGTGTGTTTTGGTTGAGAAACCGGCTCCTACTACGACTGCTATTATTGCTGTGGACGGTAGCAGCGGTTCAAATGCATCTGCAGTAATTGTGGCGGCAAGTCAGAGAAGAGCTTCGCCTGAGCCTGAAAATCCGCATATCAAGCGGGGCATCAAAGGATTCGTGGAATTCCCAAAAGTTGTTCGAGCGATTGGTTCCAAGAGTAGGCATTTTGGGACCAAGTTGGAGTGTCAGAAGGCTCAGCTGAGGATACTTCTCAAACAGAAGACTCCCATCCGATCATCCAATCATCCAATACCCTTATTACCAGCTAGCTAGTTACCTAGGTGTCTTCAGGATTTTCCACTCGAAAACTAGGCATGGCATACCATCGTTATTCCTTCCCATTTACCATTTCTTCCAGGTCCCTGATGAGCTTCATACATGTCGATGGTTTTATATGTTCATGATCTGCTTTCGTATCCAAATAATATTGGAGCCAACATGTAAAAGTATATACTTGTGTCTTTTAAGAGTTAGTGATTTTTTTCCCCTCTTTTTTATCTTGCAATATACGCACTGCTGTGCTTTGTTCAAGTCATCGGTGTTTATGATACTACGATCTGAAGATTTTTTTTTTCCTTTTTGCCCCGCTTTTTTTGTCATCTGTCAATGATTGCCTTTGTGACAGGTTAAAAAAGAAAAAAAAAAAAAAAAAAAAAAAAAACGTCAACGAGATTGAGTTATTGTATAATAGATGAGTTAATTATACTTGAAGCTCAAGAGTAAAAATGGTATTACGTATTTTCTTGAATAATCTAGGACCATAATCAGCTAAAGGGTCAAAGGGAAAGTGAAACACCATAAGTATTGACGGCCTACTTTAGCTTTTTAATTCCTTTCTTCATGGATCTTTGTTTGTTTACTTTTCTTTATGCATGGGAAATAGTTTTTGTTACTTATTATTATTGTTGTTGTTATTATTTATAGTTTGTTACCTAATTAATTCTTCCAATAATGAAGATACACTATTCTGTAAGAAAATTTAATATCTAATAGTAGAAAGTATCAAAGTTGTTCTATATTTCCTCTTGTATTCTTACGGGTGTTTTAAATAATTCACTTTAACAATAAGTATGGAAAATGCATTCCGCTTTGGAGACGTAATACAGTCATTAAAAAAAAATTTTTTTTTTTCTGATAATCAGTTGTTAAAAATTAAAGTATCAGACGTTGGGCAAAGCCCATGATACAAGTAACGATCTATGCGCGCCGTCAACCCTCTCTTGCGTGGAAACAGTGAAATAGCAGCATTTTCAGTGGCAACTGGAAGGAACTTGCGCGCCCCAATTGCTGCTAAACTCTGACCTTCATCCTGGGCTTCAACCAGTTTCCTTTTCGTTTTGGCAGAGTTCCCCATTGAGAGGCAATTTTCCATCCATAGGAGGAGCGAGTACGTTTACATGTATATATACTTAGAGTGTAACCTCTCGTTTCTGCTTCAAATGCACTACTGGACTTGGGATCCCGGAAAGAAAAGACTTTTCAATCATCATATTCCCAAATAAAATAATCCTGCCTGATGTTGCATTTACCTGTTTCGAAAACTCCACTGTGTTACTACTGCCAATATCGCTCATTAGTTGTTACTTTGCTTAGTTAATGCCACTGCTTAGTCTGGTTAAGCTTAAGGTGAGGGGAGAAGCAGAAGAAAGCAGGAATTAGTAAATGGAACAAGCAATAAGTCATGTTCCTCGAAGGCCACACAATTGCAG